GAGGGCCTGGGACAGGGAGGGCGGTGGCCCGGCTCCCCCCAGTGCCTACCCTCCGGGGCCCTCGCCACAGCCCTGGGGTGGGGGTGGGTGGCCCCATCTGGGTGTCAGGACACGGAAGCCCTGGCTCCTCCAGGGAGCAGCTGGGAGCTGGTTCCTGTGTGTCTGACTCCAGGGTTTCCCCATTTTCCATGCAGGGGGCTTGGACGCGGGGGTGCCACGAGCCGGTGCCGGTGAGGCGGACCGGCGGGCGCCTTCTCGCTCGCGTGGGGGTAGAGCAGAGCCTTGCTTTCCCCTTTCCTGTCATCGGGTTTATTTATAGCTGCCTGGTCGTGGGTGGAAGCGTCTTTCCAAAGCTTTGCTGCAGGGAATGCCCTCCTCTGGGGGAGAAGGAGTGGGGATGGGGGTCCTGGAGGAAGTGTGCCCGGCCTCCCCCACTCCACTACCTCCTCCCCCTTCACTGCCGGCCCCTGTGGGCAGCTGTGACAGGTGTGTATACAGCAGGTGTCCCTGTGGGCAGCTGTGACAGGTGTGTATACAGCAGGTGTCCCTGTGGGCGGCTGTGACAGGTGTGTATACAGCAGGTGTCCCCTGTGGGCAGCTGCAGGTCCCACTGGGGACCCCGGGAGGCAGCGTGGGGCCTGCTCAGACCTGTTCCACCCCAGGGCCAAGGCACCCCCAGGGAGAGCCACCGTTCGGACACTGTAACAAGTTCCCCGAGCAGCCCCCGCTGCGGGTAAGAGAGCGGGTTAGCGTCAGTGCTTCTCACAGTGGCGATCCTCCTGGGAAGGTGCTGGGATGGCTCCTTGCTGAGCAGAGGGCCGGGGGGACGGCACACCTTGGGGCTCCAGGCACCGACTCCCGGGTTCCCAGGAACAGGTCCCGCGGGCCCGCCCCGCCTCCGCTTCCTCGGAACGGACCGGAGGAGCAGCGAGGATGTTTAATTAATTGCAATTACAATCTTCAAAGGAAGCCAAGAGTTGAAAGTTGTTCCTAATTACTGTGTGAGGATGTCGGCCGGCTCCCCAAATTGATTGTGTTAGAGTTTCTGATGGAGGATTAATTGAGCTGCTTCGAGGACCCACTTTGGTCCCTCCCGTCAGATGAAGCCCCGTTCAGACTGCGAAGGCGTGGCCCGAATGGCAATGAGCGCGGCCTGGAGCCCGAGGGGCCTGGAGGAGGGTCTGCAGAAGGTCTCCAGGGCCGGAGG